TGTGTTTGTGTTTTATGAAGCAGCTGCAGTGAGGAGCTTTTAAATATTGTCTGTTTGTCTTCAGGGTTTGATATTTGTGGTCGACAGCAACGACCCAGAGAGGATCAAAGAGGCATCTGAGGAGCTGCACACACTGGTAAAAAGATTTAAACGTGTTCATAGTTTTGTTTTTCATCAGTTTTCATTAATTTAGCTTTTACTTTAGTTAACTAGAATGTTTTTATTTCTACTTGTAGTTTAGTTTCGTTTTAGTTAACTTTTAACGACTTTGGTACTTCGACACTGCTTCATTCGACTTTTAATCCACACAGTACCAGTCAGAGGTCTGAGTTTAAAATAGACCATCATCAGACTGGTGTTAAAGCTAGTTTTACTGTCCTGTTGCAGTTGCAGGAGGATGAGCTGAAGGGCGTGGCCGTGCTGGTCTTTGCTAACAAGCAGGATTTACCCAGAGCCATGTCGGTCAGTGACATCATCGAGGCCCTGAGTTTAAAAGGAGTGTCACAACCGGTAGGTGTCCCCAGCTTCTGCTGAGCATGGGAGAAGTTTGGCTCCAGAGTTTTCTGTCTTCCACATGTGGTTAGCAGTGTGATTAAAGTGACTTGGTTTGTTAGCTGCAGTCATAAACGGTTTCGGCTGTGTGCTGTGTCTTATTAATATTTTCATCCTTCTGTGTCTGTGCAGTGGTCGGTCCAGCCATCCTGCGCCGTCAGTGGCACCGGTCTGGTTGAAGGTCTGGACTGGCTCTCTAATGAGATCCTGAAACGGTAGCAGACATCAGGGTGACGAGGAGTTCTGCTTTAGTTTGTTTGTTGACTCTTCTGTCTTCTATGAACTGAGGTGAGAGGTGAACTCAGAAGCAGCGACTTTGCAACTGTTAAATCGGCCTCATCACAAAGACATTTGACGGGAAATGCTGTCACTCAGATTTCTAGAAGAGTCTCAAAAACAGGAGATAAAAGTCTAAACGGGGCTAATTTTTCATGAATTTTTATTAACTTTTCATTTTTTAATCACTTTTGTTCAAACTTTCTGAGACAACACAAGCTGCTTTAAAACTGCCTCCAGAGGACACACCAGAACGGTGTTTTAATTTTTCTCATCTATCAGACTTACTTTACTTACTGATGTAGTACGTAAGTTATCGAAGGTTAGCATTGTCTCAAATGGACCACGATGAGTTTTATCTTTACCACAAATGACATTTGAAATGTTTAAACCACATTTTATGAACAGCTCCCAGAAGTTGTGCCTTTGATCGTTAAATTCACTACACGTGCCAAATAACGCCCTAACACGTGTTATGTTGTTTTTACCTGCAAAAAAACTCAGTGCTGCTCTTTCTTAGCTAGCTGGCATCATCATCAAAATGAAAATTGTTCAGCAGTCCCTTTGATGCAGCCAGTCATGTGAACCCAGCTGTGCACTCCAAATAGTGATTGTAAATATGGACGAATGAGACCAAAGATATAAAAGAATTGTATATCTACTGTTATATCTCTGATAGACACAGCATAGATGGACATCACCCATTGGTTAATGAAATACTGCTGTGAAGCCTCAAGATTTGTTTGTTTTTTGGTTTTTTTGCCATCACCAAATTGTTGTTTTGAAACAATCAGCTCATTGGATAATATCTTGTCAATCACAATGATAGCCTGGCTCTTAAAATGACCATAATTAAGTAAATTAATGACTGTTTTATTGAGTATGACCCGAAACCAGACATCATGAAAGTGTTTAGTGGAGTCAGGGCAGAGGGATGTTTTTGCATAGATTTTTAGGACAATCAGTCTTTTTGCAGCCACAGGTATCGCCCCCTGGTGGCTTTTACATTTACTTAAAAACTGTGAGGGCGTCACTGTTCAGTGAAGCCACCATTTTTTTAAATGGGTTGGCACGTGGAGGACAAAAGACATTCAAAATGCTGATGGGAAATTTTAGAAAAGACCACCAAACCAAACCATGTAAAATGTGGTTAAATTTACTCAGTTATAATGATTTTAACTGTGAACAGACCTCATTTGTGATTTGTTCCCCATTTACAAGCTGTGGCCTTAATGTAGACATGATTTGCCTTTAGTTTAATTGAAGAAGGATTTTCTATCTCTGAGTGTTTTCTTTAAAAAAAATTAAAGGCACAAGGAGGTGAAATTAATCAGAACTTTTTTTTTTTAAAGAAAATTCAAAATCGTGCACTTTATTTGATCAACAGAAGACTCTGATGGTCCCTCTCAGCTTCCTTATAACTTTCATTATTGTAAAAAAAAAATTTAACTGCACTTTTTATCTTCATCATTTTTATCTCAGGTTATTTCTTCTAATTGATTTCATGTATTTCACAAAAGAACTGTTGGAGTCGCTTGTCATTGTAGCAGAAACACATGATTTAGTGGTTATTTATGAAACATGACTGTGATGTTTAAACTTGGTGTATGAGGTAAAATTCTGGGTGAATGTTTCTATTAAGATGTTTCTGTAGCATTGTAGCTATTGTTATTTTTCACGTGAATTACGTAAATCTTTCTAAACATGTTTATTTTTCCAGATTCACTTTGTCATTATTGTATAATAAAGTTGTCATGGTGGAGAGGTTGTGTATCTTTGTGTTATTTTAATACACACTGTTGGAATTACCAGAGAGAGTTATAGTTAAAGTAAAGTAAGTCGACCTTTGCAAAAGTGTTTCCTTCTCGCCTTCACCTACTCCTTCTCGCCTTCACCTACTCCACTATGCCTGAACTCTATTCTTCAACTCTCTTGTCTCTCCTTTGCTTGTTTAATGCTTGACTCCGGGTATTTAAACTCATCTACTGTTATTATCACTATTCCTTGCATGTTCACCTTTTCACCTGAACTGTCTAACTTCGTTCACATACATGTAGTCTTGCTTTACTGACTTTCAATCCTCTTCTCTCCAGAGTTCACCTCCACGTCTCTTCCACCCTCTTCCTACTGTCACCGCAGATCAGTGTCTACTGGACACATCATAGCTCCACCTTGGACCCATCTGCCACACATCTCTCCCACTTTCAACTTTCTCATGCAGTACCACAGCTCCTTTCTTGATACCCTATCATATGTAGTTTCCACAAAGAGAAAGAACTTCTCAAAAACACTATTAAACAAAGCATCTGTGATGGTCTTTCTTGTGAAACCACAGTGCTGCTCATTGATTGTTGTCTCTTTTCCACAGTCCTTGGTGTCCAGCCTCACATATAACTCACTGTAAGCCTTTTCCTTTGTGTATGCTTGCCTCCCAATTCTACTGTCTATTTTCTTCATCTCCCTGACTAGCCCACGTTTTCCTTGCTAAACTCTTTCTTTAAATACTTTCCTGTCCTCGTTCATTTCACCATCAAGTCTCCTTGTCCTCTTGACTCTGTTCAGTGGATACACCAAACAGCTAGTGCTGTACTTTTCCTAGTGAAATGTCTTCTCTACTACGCAGTGCCTGTCTTAACCCCTTGCTGAACTTTGTGCAACATTCCTCCTTCTTCAGCTTCCACCACTTAATCCTTGCCTCTGCCTTCATTTACTTCCTCTTCTTAACATTCTCCCCTGACAACACCTTAGGTCTTCTATCCTTTCCAGATTGCTCCCTCTGTGTAAGATGTAGTCCACCTCTGTGCACCTCTGTTTTCTTGAACCAGTGCGAGTAGTGCACTTGGTGGCTCCACCGTGGCTTGTTCTGCCAGGTAAAGGTAAAAAAATAAAAAGATGTTAAAGTGCAATAGCTTCACTTTCAGAGATGGGAAAGATGTGATTTGGTGCTGTATAAATAAAACGGAATTGATTTAAACTAAGATTAAATTCAAAATGTAAAGTTTGATATATGCATCTCATAACAGCTTTTTGTAGCTCTATCACGATATTTCTATGGCACTTCCTCTTTACTGATCTCTATTTTTAAGGATGGATTTAAACGACATGCTGCCAAGACCAGTTGCAGTTCAGCCTCATTTCCTGTGGGAGGTGGTTGAGAGCAGAGATCAGTTCCCTTCAGAGAACAGAGTTTGTGTCTGTTCAGACAAAGTGAAACTAAACGAGAGTCACTGAGAGAGTAAAATGGCACAGCACAAAAATCTAATGGACAAGGAAAAATTCTGCTGTTCAATCTGCTTGGATTTACTGACGGATCCGGTGACCATTCCCTGTGGACACAGCTACTGCATGAACTGTATTAAAACTCAATGGGATTTGGACGATACAAAGCAAATCCACAGCTGCCCCCAGTGTAGGCAGACTTTCACACCAAGGCCTTCGCTGGTGAAGAGCACCATGTTAGCAGATTTAGTGGCTGAGCTGAAGAAGATTGGGCTCCAAGCTGCTCGTTCTGATCACAGTTATGCTGGACCTAAAGATGTGGCCTGTGATTTCTGCACTGGAGTAAAACTGAAAGCCATGAAGTCTTGTTTAGTCTGTCTGGCATCTTACTGTGAGAAACACCTCCAGCCACACTATGATTCGCTTACATTCAAGAAACACAAGCTGGTGGAGCCCTCCAAGAAGCTCCAGGACAACATCTGCTCTCATCATGATGAGGTGATGAAGATTTATTGCCGTACTGATCATCAGAGTATCTGTTATCTCTGCTCAATGGATGAACATAAAGGCCATAACACGATCTCAGCTGCAGCAGAAAGGACTGAGAGGCAGAAGGAGCTCGAGGTGAGTCAAGAAAATATCCAGCAGAGAATCCAGGACAGAGAAAAAGATGTGAAACTCCTTCAACACGAGGTGGAGGCCATCAGTCAGTCTGCTGATAAAGCAGTGGAGGACAGTGAGAAGATCTTCACTGAGCTGATCTGTCTCATCCAGAAAAGCTGCTCTGATGTGAAGCAGCAGATCAGATCCCAGCAGGAAACTGAAGTGAGTCGAGTCAAAGAGCTTCAGGAGAAGCTAGAGGTGGAGATCACTGAGCTGAAGAGGAAAGACACTGAGCTGAAAGCGCTCTTAAACACAGAGGATCACAGCCAATTTCTACAAAACTAGCTCTCACTGTCAGCACTCACTGAGTCAACAGAATCATCCAGCATCAATATCCGTCCTCTGGGGTACTTTGAAGTTGTGACAACAGCTGTGTCAGAGGTCAGAGATAGACTGCAGCACATTCTGAGAGAGAAATGCACAGACATCTCACTGATAGTCACTGAAGTGGATGTTTTACTCTCAGATCCACAAGCAGAGCCAAAGAGGAGAGCTGGATTCTTAAAATTATCACATGAAATCACACTGGATCCAAACACAGCAAACACATGGCTGCTATTATCAGAGAGGAACAGAAAAACCACAGCAATGAATAATCAACAGCCCTATTCTGATCATCCAGACAGATTCACTGATTACTGGCAGGTTCTGAGCACCGATAGACTGACTGGACGTTGTTACTGGGAAGTTGAATGGAGAGGAGGAGTTCATGTAGCAGTTGCATACAAGAATATCAACAGAGCGGGGATGGGGAATGAATGTGGATTTGGAGGTAATGCAAGATCTTGGGCATTGAAATGTTTCCAAAACAGTTATACATTTTGGCACAACAACATCCAAACCCCCATCTCAGGTCCTCAGTCCTCCAGAATAGGAGTGTACCTGGATCACAGTGGTATTCTGTCTTTCTACAGCATCTCTGAAACCATGACCCTCCTCCACAGAGTGCAGACCACATTCACTCAGCCGCTCCATGCTGGACTTCGACTTAATGGTTGGTGTGTTTTTGGAGCAAGTGCCAAGTTCTGTGAACTCAAACATTTATAGTCTTTCATATTCAAGTGGGTTTAAATCTGGATTCAAAATACATTGATAAAAATTCATATTTGTATTGATGCCTTTATCTTCCAGTTTATGATGTTAACTTAATGAAGAAATCAGCAGAGCTGCCTCATTACAGATGTTGCTCTCATTAATTTGTACATGTGCGAAGAAATCTATGATACATTTGCATGTATCTGTAGAGCAAACTGAGTGTTTTTGTTGTTGTTTTCTAAATTGGCAAACAAAATATAAAACGTATAATTATTGAATACATCATTTGTTGTATGCAATGTGTGAAAATAAATGTTTTTCATACATAATAATAAAAAAAAGAAGGAAAAAAAGGTGTTTTTGATATTTTTAATTATGGTGAAAGCATACTGCATGTGTGGATCGTCCCTATGCAAGAAGCCGTTTTAAGTTGATGATGAGGTGACTCATCTAGTGATGCTGTGTGATATTGCTAACTTTGGTATCAGTCCAATACCAAGTAAATACATGGCCATGATTGCCGATACCAATACAGATACTTTAAACCTATAAAGTAGGTTAAAAGTCAGTGGATTTTTATCCACTCATCAGTTTGCAAATCATCATCACTTTCCTAAATGAAACACATTTTAATGATCAGAAACTGTCTGTGATTTTTACTTTTGTTCATAGGACAAAAGTAAAAATCACAGTAAAAAAAAAACAGTAAAAACATACCTTCCAGCTTTTCTTGTATTTGTTTCTTTTTAGACTAGGAAAATAAATTTCCTCGTCTTTAAAGCACTTTAGCTATTGTTGGTTTAAATGTGCTACGTGGTGTATATGCCCACAGTTTCAACTTTTTAGTTCAGGTTATTATAGCAATTAAGCAGTACACACTTTGTCAAACAATAAGTCTGACTTAATCAAATCACCTGAATCCTAATATTTACAAAGATAATTCTGTCCTTTATCAATCATTATATGACATTTTAATTAAGAATTTAAAAAAAAATCATCTGTCCACTTTCCTCTGCTCTTTTATTTTAATTTGCATTTCACATAATTTTATTTTACTGTGCTCCAACCCATTTCAAAGTGTAATATTTTCATTTAACACAGCTACTTTTTTCCAAATACAATTTGGAAAAAAGCAGCTTTATTTATATATTAAGCTTATATACACTGCAGTATTACATAAAGTATCATTTTCTACAATAATATGTAAATCATGTGACAGAAAATTATCACCATTAAATATCATCACTAGTATAAAACAATTTTTTCATATGAAAATGCAAAACAATTTGCAGATCCACCTTACGTAGAGACAATGGTTTTGTTTTTTAAAAGGTATACCAATATAATGACTAAAATTCCCTAAATGAGCTTCATGTTTTATTAACTAAGACTTGAATGAAGTTATTGAGCCCATAAAGTCTTCAGGAAACTGCCAATAAGCCAGCTCATAGACCTGTAGAACAGCTGCCCCCTGCTGGCCATTACACAAATAAAATACAGATTAAAAAAATACATTTGGTCTAGCGGTATAGCTCACCGCACCACCACTGTGTCATAGCCGGCACAAACATAAATAAAACTGACAAATCCTTTTAATCTTTGTCTAAATGTTCCTTTCACTCTATGTTTGTCTGAAGCTCGTGCTGCTGGTGAAGTTTTGCTTGAAGTGAAAACAAGAGCAGACTGAGTCAGGCGGATGGAGTTAGTGCTTTATTATCACCGTAAAGCCTTTTTTCGTTAATCATGACACGGGAACATCAATCACTGAAACATATTTACAGCTCAACATCAGCGATCCTGTCGTGTTTACTTCGTCTGTAAAGTGCAGCTCTGTCAACACGAGCCTTTCACTTGGTTACAGCAAAAACAAGAAAGCAATATCTCACCCCCCACGTGTCCCAAAAAACTAAAATAAAAATAAAATCATCTTCAGTAACTGTTGATTTCGGCTTTTTAGAAACATCTCCACTACTTTAACCTCCCACAAACGAAGAGGTGTGTCTGTGGCCTCTTTCATCCCTACATGAAGAAAATGAAACTTAAATGAGTGAATCACTCTGGAAATGAAATGCAAGTTAATGAATAAATGTGCGATGAACATAAAAGGCCCCAACGTATGCATGCCTGGTAAATATTAAGACATTAGAAGAAACAGACTCAGCAGGCAATGTGAAAGAAGATGGAGTCTGTTTTTTATGACACACAGGTGGTTATTGGTTTTTCAACACTGTATCAGAGGAGCTTAAAGTCTAGTGTTTTTCTTTTATGAAAACAGAAAGCCATGTTCTCCTTTCAGTTTGAGGGAACTTGAGGGAAATTTGTGCTTTTCTCCCTTTTATTTATTTATTTATTTA